GTGTCATTTTGAACTACCTCGCGTGCTAATATCCGATAATGGGAAGTAGTTCAAAGACATCAAGTTCCATAACTGGTGTGCCAAGATGGGAATCCAACAAAATTTCACCTCGGTAGCACACCCGCAAGCGAACGGATAAGCTGAAGTAACAAACAGGGCGATTCTCTGCGGACTGAAAGCTCACCTAGTCTGAGCTAATGGATTATGGGTGGAGGAGTTACCCAATGTCCTTTGGGCATACCGAACCACCATCAAGTCTGCCACGGGTGAAACACCCTTCAACCTCACGCATGGTACAGAGACAGTGATCCCAGTAGAGATCGAAGTGCCAATGTTGCGACTTGAGGCTTACGACGGGGAAGCAAACGATGACGAGCTCTGTACCAACCTGGACTTGATAGAAGAGATGGATTTGGATTACATTCAGATAGCGGTTTACCAGCAGAGAGTAGCTCGGTACTATAATGCCAGGGTCAGGAAGCGACTATTCCAAATCGGCGATCTGGTCCTTCGCAAGGTAATGGTACCCGAGCTCGGCGTGGGAAAGCTCTGTCTGAATTGGGAAGGTCTTTACCAGGTGAGATGTGTGTTTGAAGAAGGAACTTATGAGCTCGAGACCATGGAAGGAAAACAGGTGCCTCAAGCTTGGAACAGTGACAACCTAAGGAGATACTACCTGTAAATCTCAACGCAAGCAAAAAACGACTAAGTCCTTAGATCACTGAGCTGATCCTATGGACAATGAACTGGAAAGAGGACCTTAAGTCACTCCTAAAAGCCTAAGGGCAATAGTGCCAAGTTGACAAAAGACCTCGGCACCACATAAAACCCAGTCGCCTCTTCGGCATGGGCAAGATCAGGGATAACGAGAGTGAACCTTAAGTCACTCCCAGAAGCCTAAGGGCTAAGGTGTCAAGCTGATAAAAGACCTCGACACCATATAAGGGCTAAGGTACAGACAGGTCGGTCATATATACCCTACAGTGTCTGCCCACCCCGGCATACAATAATGATTGTTCCTATTTGAGTTTGGGAATAACCTCGAGTTCGGGAGTGATCTATACTTGGAAAAATTTTACTCCTATATGGTCTAGTTCACGAGTTCGAGAGAATCTATACTTAGAAAAATTTTGTACACAAAGAGCTTTGCAAAATACTTGTATTCCATTGATAAAATGCTTCAAGTACATAGTAAAAAGAGAGAGAGAGAGAGAGAGAGAGAGAGAGAGAGAGAGAACAAGATTACAACTGCTTAGTCGAGCTCAGAGGCTCAGGCATCAAATATTTACAAAGGGGGGGTCCAAGAAAAGAGGCATCATCAATCACTTCGGGGCTTTTCATCCCCAACAGAGGCGTCAACAGGAGGATCTGTCTCCATGCGGTCCTCGGCAGCATCAACCTCCTCTCCCTCTTCCACCGTCTCGTCGTCACTCTTCGCCTCGGAGTCCGGATTCTTGGCGGCTTCAACGGCCATCTCCTTGGTAATCTTGGACGTGGTGATGGCACTGAGGTCGAGATGGGGAAATTCACACCAGGTCAACCACCTACTAAACTTAAACCCCTTGTGGTAACCCGCTATCCCAGCCTCGACCAACCTCTCTCGAAGCTCCGCTAAAGACTTATACTCCTCGATCGCCTTGACCTTGGCCTCTTCTATCGCTTGAAGCAGGATTTCAGTTCGCTCCTTCACATGAGCCTCAAGGTTCTCATTCTCCCTCTTCAGTGCCGCCTCGCATTCCTCGAGTTGATTTTTCTCCGCCTGAAGCTCTTTTTTCTTCGCCATCAGTAGAGTCAGTAGCTTCTTCTTATTCTGCATGTCCTTTTTTAGTTGGTTGATCTCGCTGGGAGCTAAGTTGAGCTCAGAGTGAACGCTCTGGGAGGATTCTTCGGCTTTGAGAGCTTGCTTTAAATTCACTTCGGACTGGTAGGCCAAGGCATGGATAGAGGAGTTCACCTGCCAAAAGAAGAAAACAAGCATAAGTATGAAGAAAATTCTACGTACGAAGCAATCTGAAAGTTCATACTTTGGAGTCAAAATACTCCGGACTGAGGTGTCACTGCGAAAATTCTGCGTACCACGATCTCGTTATGACCGTGGTCCCAAGGGAAGTTGCCCAAAGGAATACTGTATACAAGATCATTGGGAAGTCTGTATTGAGCTACCAGAGCTAGGAGCTTGTCCACTGTCATGGTAGACGGACCGAAGCTATCCGGTAGACGACCTCGGTTCGAGGTGGAGGCCGACCTTCTGAAGGCCTCTCGCTCTCGCTGAGGTGAGTCCACCTCGGACGGATTGGAGCCTACGTCCTGTGCCGAAATGACCATCTCCGCAGGATGAGGCTCCACGGTTTGTGCCGAGGTGACCACCTCGGCCCCAACGGACTCACCGCTCTCATTTAAAAGGCTATCTAAGCTAACACTAGACATTCTAACGGAAAGGACAATGAAATCAAAAGTAAAGGAAGATGAACTCGCCAAATGAAGACTAGAAAATGCAAGACGACCTCAGACCCAGGAATAGCTGACACCATGTTGAGAGACTTGAACGCGACCTCAAGGACTTTGGATTCGCGATTTGTAGCAAAGAAAATGGGCCCTTCGGCCCCTATTTATAACTAGTATATCCAGGAATCAACGGCCAAGATCTACACGATCCAATGGCTCCTAGGAAAACCGGCTACATGCCTCCCGAGGTTAAAATTAGTTTAGCGTGCGTTTTGACGTCTGCAGAGACTATAATTGGCTTGACGTCCACGTGTACTTGATACACGATCTGGGTCACTTCTTGGTTGAGCTGAATGGTTGAACAGGTCCGACCAACGGTCCGCCCTCCATATCACCTAGACTTCGTGCCAAATCCACCTAAGCTCATCATGAACTCCCCGTGCTGGGTCAAGACCCTTGGCACGAGGAGTGGGGGGTAATTAATGGAGGGTGATTTGGCATGACCTAGCAAGTAAAGGTCACATGGACGCGATTTGCCCGGTAGGTGACAACTCAGCAAAAGGAGCCTAGTCAGCAGTTTCTGAGCTCGGGTGTTCGGCCACCTTGACACATAGCTACCTCGGCATAGAGCCACCTCGGCACCTAGTCCAGTTCGGGGCTCAAGACCCAGAGTGACATGTAATTGACTCCAGAAGCTGCCCAGCGAAATCCGAACCTCATGGGATTACGCCGTTTAATGACAAGCCTTATCCTCTCCCCACCCGGATTGGGGGGAGACGATAGACTTCCTTAATCGATGTCACTCCCCGACTAAAGCAGAAACACATCTCATCTACTCAAGCCGAAGATCCCAAGATCGTTTCATGAGACCACGACATTTCAACTATATAAAGGCAACAACCTCTCCAAAGCCCAGGTATGCGCGATTGTTTACATTTAAGCTCTTTAGCATCCAAAACTTTAGCTCTCAACCACAACATATTACTGACTTAAGCATCGAAGCAATCTCGCCGGGTCTTTCACCCCAGTCTCTCTAATCCAAAACTTTAGCTCTCAACCACAACATATTACTGACTTAAGCATCAGAGCAACCTCGCCGGTTCTTTCACCCCAGTCTCTCTAATCTCTGTTTCGCAGATTGATCCAGCTCGCCACGCGAAGCATGTCCGGACAACCCTCCAGCTAGGAGCTTCTAGATCGCGTATCATCAATTATTATTACTATTACTATTGTGATTGTAATTTTATAATTATTTCTGATTTTATAAATATTTTAATAATATTGGTTATTATTAAACGGGTGTAAGCATTGGTTTTTTATGTTCAATAAATATTTATTTCTTGCAAAAATCCAAATAATTTTTCATTTTCAGTACTAACCATTTTATTTTTCTCTTATTCAGTTTTCCAAACGATAAAAAAATAAATTAATGGTATTTACCTATTATTATCAAACCTGTATAAAGTAATTACTGATAATTAATACAAAAATAATCATTCTTTTATATTCATAGTAATTAATAATAGTTATCTTATAATTATACATGTAATGTTAATTATTAAATGTTAATCATAATTAAATAACTTACTTTTGTTTGTTTTTAAACCTAAATCGGTTTAATTAAATATTGAGAAATAATTATGATGTTAATATTTAATATTATTATTCCCTTTTATTATTTATTAAAATATTTTAAAGTAATTGATTATTATGCATAAGTTTTTACTTATTAATAATGTTAATTATAATTATCATAATAATAGTAATAACAATAATATTTTTATTATTAATATTAATTATAATAATATTATTTATAATAATAATAATAGTAATAATAATAATAATTAGGTCAGCTTAATTAAATACTAATAAATAACAATGGTGTTAATAATTATTATTACTATTCTTACTTAATAAGTATTAAAATATTTTCAAGTACATATTTTCTAAGAATGAAATATTATTTACTTAAAATTATTTTCTTCAACTACCTGTTTTAATTTGGACAAATAAATAATTATTAAATTTATTTTCTTACCATTCTTATTTACTCATTATTTTTAAATACTCTTTGGTTATATATATATATAATGGAAGGATTTCAAGCCAAAGCCAATATGAATTAGCAAATCTATTATATAATAATATACTCGGTTGGAAAAAAATATTTTAAGTAAATATTTAAATAATTACAAATTTTGTTAATATTATTACTATATAACAAAAAAATTTAAATTAAATACTAAAATAAATTAATAATAATAATACGAATGATTAAATTAAAATAATAAATAGTTTAAATTGAATTTAAAGACCTGTATAATTTTATGAGTATGACATATGAGGGTTAATTTATGTAAACCCGTAGACTATATGACTGTTAAAAAAATGACAGTTTATAATTAATAATAAAAAATGATAATAAAAATTATTAATATCTATTCGTATATATATAATTAACTTTTCCGTACTTAATACGGGGTCATTCAGTAGTTTACTGGTAATACTAAACGGGCCATCAGAGTCGAAGAACCGGAAGCCCGAGCCAGTTCGGTCGCCATGTTGATTAACTCCTCTCGACCTCGACTGATGACTTATGTCGCGCCTTCCTTGGCATAAAATCCGCGCATGGGAGACGGGACATATTTGCGGAGGCAGAAAATAGAAACGATATGAGCAGGAGGAAAGCTTTTCTTCTCAAAACCCTTCTCTTCCTCTTTGCTCTCAATTCGATCTCTCTTTACATCTACTTCTCCCCTCATCCCGACCACTTCCATCCAAAACCTCAGTCTGAAAACCCCAAATTCTTAACTGAAGACCGCAAATCCCTAACTGATACTCACCAAAGACATCTAGTTCCCGTCTCATTCCATGTTAAACCATGGCCGATCCTTCCTTCTTACCTTCCTTGGTCCTTAAACCCCAATGTCCGTGCCAAGTCATGTGAAGGGTATTTCGGGAACGGATTCAATCGCCGCATAGATCTTCTCAGATCATTGCCGGAGACTTTTCGAAGATCGCCGAATTATGGTGGTGCTGGTGGTGGGTGGTTTCGATGTTTATACAGCGAAACCCTGGATAGCTCCATATGCGAAGGTGGGAGAATACGGATGAACCCAGACAAGATAAGAATGTCTGTTGGAGGGGAGAAATTGGAGTCAGTGATGGGGCGCCGGGAGGAGGAAGAGCTCCCTTCCTTTGATTCGAGTGCTTTCGAAATCGAGGTTGCCGAAGGGTCAACTGAGGGTGGGGGCGGGCGGAAGCTTGTCAATGAAGAGTTTCTAGATCGGTTTGTGCCACAGGGTGCGGTTCAGATACATACGATGCGTAGTTTGCTTGATTCGATTCGATTAGTTCCTCCTGACGAGTTCAATTGCTCAGAGGTAACACTCTTTATTTGCTAGGGTCTCGGTTCTATTTTTAGATTTTCATATTTTTATTTGCTAGGATCTAGGTTCTAGAAAATAAAGAGTGTTACCTCTTAATGTCAGACTTCAGTGGTAACATTCTTTATTTGCTAGGATCTCGGTTCTAGCAAATTATTTACTTCTATACTATTTTTAGATTTTCATATTTCTTATATTATTCAGTTACTAATTTGCTAGGATCTCGGTTCTCATAAGCCCGTTACTAGAAATTTAAACGTGTGAGTTTATTTTACTCTCATTATAGAAAGTTTGTTCATAAATAGATAAACCAGAGAGAAATAAAAATTGCACACCTAACTAGGAATTTACGTCTCTTGTAGTTCTGCACCGATTATATCCAAATAATCACCGGAAACCTATTTTACTTATTATTCATTCATTTTATACCGTTAATTAATATTTATTAATTAGTGGGTGAGATGAGGTTTGATCCGTTTGGAACCTAGGCTTGTGTTAAAGGTGGTGAGACTAGGTAATGTAGATTGGTGTAAACTACAATTTTTCGAAGTCTGCATAACCCCAATGAAAAATGCTCCTCATAGGCTCGGATCAAATTTGTAGTCTGATCACTGATCAGACTAAATTTCACCTACTTTTGCAGGCACTGGTTCTTATAAAATGCTAAATGACAACTGCTCTTTGTAAAATCTTACCATGCATTTATTGGAGCATCTTTTAAACCTTTTTTATGTATAACTTCTGTTTATGTGTTCCTTATATGCAAGAGTTTAAATTTGCAGTGGGTTGAGGAGCCAACACTTCTAGTTACGCGTTTTGAGTATGCCAACCTTTTCCATACGGTTACAGACTGGTATAGCGCATATGTAGCTTCTAGAGTTACTGGATTGCCTAATCGACCTCATCTGGTTTTTGTGGATGGCCATTGTGAGGTATGTTAGCTGCCTAATGCATTTTCTTTTGCACATGGTTGGTCATGGAACGTTTATTAGGTTCTTTCTACTTTGCGGTTTGCATAGCATATTGAAATGTCTGTTATTTTTAATTTGCGCCATAATGCTGTATGTTTTGTAGGTTGATATCTTTTTCTCCTTTCCTCTTCTTTTGCTAATGGTGGTCAGATTTGCTCTACTTAAGATGTGCTATGCCTCACCATGTCCCTAGTTATATGACAAAGTTTGTGGGGCATATCAAATATTGCTATAACTTTTATTCTTATTCTTATGATAGTTTTAAATAATTGGAGTGTCTTAGTCAGTTGAAATTTAAAGCGTGATCTGAGCCCCTGTATTGAGTATAAAAAATAGAGCTTCTATAAATGAAATCTTGAAGTTTCCCTCCCCCCTTAAAAGCGTGTCTTCTTTCTTCTCTCTTCTTATTTTGTATTGTTTTTGTTTTCTTTTCCTTATCTCTATTCTCAGATCTGAATCGCTTTCCTTTATTATTCAAATCTTTATTTTAATTCCCCATCTTTACCCACAACATACACCCTAATAAGAAATTAGGAAAAACCAACACTTAATGCACTTGCAATAATTACTGCTGACTTAATAAGTTGGCTTATGAAAACTCTAACAATACCCTACCATAAAAATACATAAAAATTCAGAAAATTACATATTTGACTTGACTTCTGCATCAATACCACCTGCATTTCCATCTAATACTCATTTATTCCTTTTTTACTTTCTCTAGATTTTCACTGGTTTTTTCTTGTAATTGGTTGTGTTGTTTCTTAATGTTTTTCTTATCATTCCTTGATTCTAACTCATACTTAAATTTTCTTGTGTCTCAGTTATCTCTTAATGATGCATTAATACTTTTTAATATCTATCCACAACAGTGAATTAGTTATAGTTGAATATCTCCAATTTCTAGAAAACAAAAGACAAAACTTAATTTTAATTGCCTAGGAGTCACTAAACTTGCCTTGAGATCCTAAAAGGCCTAGTTATCACCTTGACAACTGCATCAGATCTTTTTTTTTCCTTGGTGTGTGGTGCACTCCTAATATATTTTCTGATGTGTTTGGGCAAAATGACTTTTATACATCCTTGTTTTTATTTTCTTCTAAGATGTGCAGAAAGATACGCATTTTATATTGTGGGTTCAACATGCTGTTATGTATATTACTAGTGGGGACCTGTGCGATGTATAGGATTTGTCAAGAGAAAGTGAAACAACAGAAACTGATACCTATTATAAGGAAGGAATGCAATGTAGTTTAAAATAATTAATCTTTATTTTAGTAATTTGTTACAAAAATAATTTAGTAACTTGGTAATTTGGATTAGTTATAGTAGTAATTTTTAACAACAATAATAAATTACTGCTAATTACTTAATAAAATAATTGTTTTTTCCATATTATCTATTGGTGTTCTGTTTTATTTATTTTACTTTATTAGTGATTAAATGTTACAATTTTGTTTTTGTAAATATTACTTATATATTAGTAAATATATAAAATTAGGCTGTAGCTATAATTAAATTAATCTATGGATTAACTTTTTTAGTCATAATTAAATTAATTCTAAGCTTGAACTCAAGGTTTAAAACTTCAGGTTGTGTTTGGGTTGATCTTCAACCTGAACCAACCCACCCACGTTGCACTCCTAAGAGCAATGCGACATTTGTAATTCAACTGAACCAAACTGAGTACAACCCATGCATGCATTGTTTTTGTTTTTTTAACTATTTTTAGATAATATTGAAGCCGAATCAGCTATGGGGGATGGGCTACCCCCATTGTGTAGCCCAATGAACCAAAAAGATAGAAGATGTTGGGCTAGATTTTGATAGCCTATTAACAGTTTTTAAGGTTGCTTGGCCCAACCTAGCCCACGCCTCAAGCGTAATAATATTTGTTTGGGCCTAGGACAGGGGCATGCTTTTCTATATTAATTATAAAACTATGATTTTTTTCTACAAATTAAAATTTTTATTTAATTTCTATTATAATGAATATATAAAAAATCTATCTATATTAATATAAAATTCGTTATTTAAATTTATTTCATGTATATATGTAGTATGACTTATATATGTACTTTAAAAATAATTAGTTTTTTTTTAACTTTTTAATTTTTTGGTCATTTTAAACACAATGAGATGGCTGCGAATTAAATCCAAAATCCAACATAATAATCAAATGCGAATGCGGATCTATAGATTTCATAATCATATGCAGTTGGATCTGATCTGAATATGAATTGTTTACGTTCCCATTGCCCACATTATGTGTGGGCTTAGTGTAGATCTGAGCTAGACCTAGCTCAAAAGAAAATAGTTGTTTGCATAGTTGTCAAGGTGACACCTAGGCAACAAGGTGCCCTTGGAGGCTCGCCTTGCCCAGTCGCCAAGCAGTTTTGTGCATTGTGTTATAAAATACTTTTATATTTTTAATTTTTTGACATTATAATTATAAAATAGACATTATTAAACTAGAATACTCATTTTTATGTGTTTATATACTAATTTCTTTTTATTATTTTCTTATTTGTTAGGGTTTAATCAACACAAACATTGCTAACTGTTGTATTGAACCCATGGTTCAAAGTATTGATACACCTCTATGTATCAGCAGAGGTGTATCAGTACTTACAATGATACTCCCCCTATTTTTTATTTCTTTGGTTTTAAATTTCATTTTTAAATATATATATTATTTTAAAAAATGGGCTCCCAAAAACACTTGTAAACATGTGTATCGGGACGCCAAAGATACAATACAATACACTCAATATGAGGTGTATTGTACTGAAATTTTGGTCCTTGATTGAATCCTCGAAGATTTCAAAACCTGAACCAATAAGCAAGGGAAGAACTTAAAAATTTTGTCTAATCAACACATTTTCTTCTTCCACATCTTCTTCTTCTTCTTCCACCTTTTCTTTTCTTCTTTTCCTATAACTAAAGTAGGGGTTCAGCCCCTATATTTTTTGAATTTTCATTCCTTTGTTCTTTTTCTTCTCATAAAATGTTGATTTTCTAAACTTAAACATGAAATTTATACTTCTCATATGAAAATTATGGATAAATTATTAAGGAAAGATGGTTATGGAACGTAGGGAACTACCCTAGGATATATGGTTTTACTTAAAAAAAAATTCATCACCTAGGCGCCTACCCAGGCGACAAGGCACCCCCTGTCGCCTAGCCTCGGCTTGGCGCCTTGAAAACTATGGTTGTTTGAGCCCGGAAGTTTATAGGTCTAGTCGGGTTGGGCTAAGTTATAAATGATCATCCCTAAGTAAGAGTCTTATGACATTTTTAATTGGGCCATTATTAGTTTTATTATTTTAATTAATTTTTATATGGATTATAAATGGTTTGTTTTATTATTTTAATATTTTGTTACTTTTTGTTATTAATTTTAATTATCCTATCAATGTTAATTATTTTTGAATAGAATTCAATAGTTACTAGATAAAAACTTTTATTAATTTCTTATTTTTAAATTAATACTTTCTATTAATTTCTTAATTTTTAATAGTTGCTAGATAAAAACTTGCTAAAATTTAATATTTTTTATTCACTTTAGTAGTTTTTTTATTAATTTTAGTTATTAGATTTCACATTTATAATTTTTTGACAATTAACCAATTAAATAGAATTTGAATATTAAATAAAAATTTGGATGGGAGTAAAGGGAGTAAAGTTCTCTCTTTTTGGAATACAATAGACTAATAATGGAAGAGGCCTATAGAAATATGCTAAAAAGGGTTGATGATGGAAGGGGTGGGAACTATGTCTTAGAATTCTCTCTCTCTCTCCCCTCTCTCTCTCTCTCATTATTTTTAGGGATTTAACTATCTATGATATTTTTATTAACTAATTTTTGAAATGTTATTTGTTTATGGGCTGGGATGGGCCTACACCATCTTTGAAGTACTAGGCCTTGGAATTTGTGGGCCTGATGGGGTTAGGGCCCGGGCTGGACTAAAATGATCACCCCTAAGCAAATTGCTTTTGGTTTATTAGATTAGTGAGAGGGGAGAGAATAAAGTAAAAATAAAAAAAAGGAAAAAGCTCAATTTAATTGAGTAATTGAGAGGAGAGAAAATTAGTGGTGTGAGTGATTGGAGACAGAGAGAGTTAGTGAAATGATTAATGAGGAGAGATAATCAAAGGAGTTAATGAGAAATATAAGAGAGATAATCTAAGTCTTAAATATTTAAAGTTGATTGGCTACTTGAATTATTTTGTTCAATTTTAAAAAAAAAATAAAAAAAAAACACAAAATAGATAAATGGTAGGAGAGTAAGGAGGCCATATTGACATGGCACGTCTTGTTTTATTATTATTATTATTATTATCTCCTATTTCTCTCTCTCCCACAGATTCAAACACGCATGTTTGGTCTTAATGCTTGCCTTACATGCAACATCCTGCCTCCATAATGTCATGTGCTTATGTCAGCATAGCCTCTTATTCTGCCTCCATAATGTCATGTGTGCAACTTTGTAACCTGTCATCTACCAAGATTTTTTTTCCCTTTTTCGAAGGCTCATGGTCACTGACCCAGCTCCAGATATTGTCCTCTACCTGATTTCTCTGTTATGTAATTTCAGACACATTTAGAAGAAACTTGGAAGGCACTATTTTCAAGCCTTAGGTATGCTAAGAATTTCAGTGGCTCAGTTTGTTTTCGCCATGCAATTCTTTCACCATTGGGATATGAAACTGCCCTTTTTAAGGGACTTACCGAAAACATAGACTGTGGGGGAGCTGCTGCACATGATCTTTGGCAGAAGCCAGATGACCGAAAGACTGCACGGTTATCTGAGTTTGGGGAAATGCTAAGAGCAGCCTTCGGTTTCCCAGTGGATAGAAATCGGATGTCAAAAACAGTTTCAAGACATAATGTTCTCTTTGTGCGTCGTGAAGATTATTTGGCTCATCCAAGGCATGGTGGCAGACTGGAGTCGAGGCTTAGCAATGAACAAGAGGTGTTTGAATCTGTGAAGTTTTGGGCAGTTAATCATATGGAATGCAAAGTAAATCTTATTAATGGGCTACTTGCGCACATGTCCATGAAAGAGCAAGTCCGTGCCATTCAAGATGCTTCTGTCATTATAGGAGCTCACGGGGCAGGATTGACACATATTATAGCTGCAAGACCAACGACAGTGATTCTTGAGATCATTAGCAGCCAATTCAGGCGACCACATTTTTCATTGATTTCACAGTGGAGAGGGCTAGAATATTATGCCATTAACCTGGCTGGCTCACATGCAGAACCTGCAGTTGTTATTGAGAAGCTAAACAATATAATGAGAAACCTTGGATGCTGAGCTATTTATGGTTTTGACGGTTCTAGATTCACCTTGCTAGTCATCAAGCGTCTTAAGGAGACTTTGCATGCTGTGGCCCTTGTTTCTTGTGCATTGGCAAGAACTACTGGCCGTGAACTTGTTCAACTCTAGTAGCCACATGTCAAATGTTTTCTTTTTGACAGTTCAAGCTCTCTATGGTCATAAAGGTTGGAGGTTGGAGCTTTCTTTACAAGATCTCGCATTTCCACTGGTCTTGTAGCAAGAAAAGAAGCCTCTAAGGGGGACGTCTTTTTGATACAACGTTGGTAGCTTAAGCCCTTTTAGTCCAAAGCATTGGGAATGGGAATTGGAGTCCTAATTAAAAATGTATTGACGCTAACATTTGCAACCTTTGTGAAGTTTTGCGAAAGATTGGCAGGGTGATGCGTTACCTCGAGTGGGGCATTTTACTACACCAATAAGAAGAAACTGTCTGACGTATTCTTGCCATTCCCTGTGGCCCAGCAAAAGATTGTCTAGCGAGATGGTTTCTAGGTGGGGATATGCAACCTTCTGCGCCCCGTCACTGTTGTCTTTCATTTGAGATTTGTGGAGGAAGCCAAGTAGCATCCAGCAATGGTGAGCTTGAATTTTTTTCCCTGCAAGTTTACAATGTCCATCCTCTGTCGATTCAAATGGCAGTTTAGTTATACATACCATTAGCATTTTGTGTTTTACATGATTTAAATTTCATTAAATGAGGCGCCATTCTGATTAGCTTCAATTTCTTGTAATTTGGTTCTCACCCTTCTTGGACTATATGGGTGTAAAATGGTATCTAGAATAAAGAACACTGAAACAAGGCTGTAATGGCGCACTTTTTATTGATGAGAAATATTTATAGAAGCTAAACTATATGGGTGTAAAATGGTATC